ATGCACACAAGGGAGGGCTCTGCCAGGGTAGGGGTGATGAGGAGCTGAGGCAACAAGGAAGAGAGATACACAGGCAAGAATGTGAACTATGAGAGCCAGCCAGCAGCTGTTTGTTTGCAAAAACAGCCACTTTTGCAAAAACAACCACTTTTTGCAAGAACAACCACTCTTTGCAGGCCAATGCTGCAGAGATGTAGGGGAAAACTGAACGAAAAGGGGTCTATTTCTTGTTTGCTCTCTGGTGGTGGTGTGTGTGTGTGTGTGCACCTCCACAGAACCCCCCCCTTGGCAAAAATCAGCAACTCCACCATTTGCCAAACAAGACACACCTCACATTCTGTTCAGTGCTCAACCTCCCCCACCATCATGGGTACCACCCACCACTACCACCACCACTACCACTACCACCACCACCCCCATTCCTTTTGGATCGACCACAAGTATCCCAACGTTGATTGCGACGCACTCAGGCGGTGCATCGCGGACTCGGCCTTTTACAGCGATCTCGAGCTGGCCGACGTGGTGCTCAAGGTTGCCGACAACACCTCGTACTCGAAGGAGGTCCGCGGGGGTCATCAAGCCAAGATCCTGGGCCCTCTCACGATCCTGCGCGACATTGTTTCGGATGCTGACAAGATTGAGGCCATGGGGTATGAGGGGATCGAACGGTGTCGTGCGTATGCCAGACACCTCGAGCCGATGATGGAACCCAAGGACATTGAGGAGTGTGTAGCGCAACACACCCGCGAGAAGCTGGTCCGCCTCTTTGCCGACGGGTTCATCCGGACTGGTCCGGGGCGTGAGATTGTGGACCCCCTTTATCTTGAGTTGGTTGAGTATCTTGGACAATGACAACAAGAAACGCGATGCACTGACGACGATGGTGCAGATCCTCGGATCTGGTGGGCGAACATACACACAAAGATGGAGAGAGCAAGGATCACTGGATTTGCTGTTTGAATCCTGCGTTAAGGACTTGCATCAGACCGAATCAAATTCCTGATCGGTCCCGACAAGCGCATCCGCGCCATCAGGGGCAGGATCCACATTGCCACTGGCGGCTATCTGGAGCGTGACTCCATGGGATGGTGGATCGTCAAACCAAAGACACCGCAGGTGGAGGTGGTAGACACGGACCCCACCAAACGTAAAGATCTGGATCGGCTCTCTCTAACGAATGCATGGACACCTACAGGACGTGGGCTGTGACGGGATGCAAACCATTTTGGAACGGCAGCGCCTGGTGCCTGGATGGCGCGCTGCTGTTCCTCAACAAAAATAAACGATGGATCTCGCGGGCATGCGCTCATCACGGTGGAGACCGTTCCGCAGCGCGGTGGTGGCGCTCCATGGCCCTAACCTGCACTGCGTTGGGCGGGAGTTCGCGCCTGGAACGCGCGTCTTCGTCGGTATGGACTATTACCACAACGAGAACCCGGCCTTGCACGGCTACCTCTCCTCCCTTGCCTCCGGTACACTGTCCTGCCGGTGATGATATGCGACGTCGACGACGATACCGGCAGCTACCCCATCTATGTGCCCAGAGGAGCTCGATGAGCTACGCGCCTGCCACTTCACACGCATCCGTGTGGGGGCAAAACCGCCCCCACCCAGGGGAACCGAATGATGAGCACACACTCGCATGGTACGATAGGCTCACGAGCGTCGACAGGCCGGACTCACTGGCGAGGTACGCGGTCCTCGGAACTGACGCACATTGGCACGTCAAGAAGTGCATGCCGCCGGTGGTCATCATCGTCGCCAACTGACATCCTACGAAGTACAAGCCTTTTTTTCTTCTGAACACATGTCAAGTTCGTGCCACACGAAAAAAAGTCGTTCACAAAACCCGTCGTTATTGTTCGTGAGCATGGCGGGACACCAACTCTGGCATGCGCGTGCCGCTTTTTTCCCACTGATTTCACGAATAAAAGTAGAAAGAAAGTCCAGCGCACGCCTCGCCTTAGGGTTAGGGTTATGTTAGGGACGCTGAACCCCTAACCCTAAACCCTAAACCCTAACCCTAACCCTAAGGGGCAGGGAGCGGGGGGTGGCCTGGTCGCAGCAGATGAGCTACTTTGAGAATACGAAGAAGAGCGGGGGGGTGGCGGTGCACACAAGCAGCGCTCTGCAGGCCCGTGGGCGAGCCTCAGCGATAAACACACGCGGGGGTTGCGTGGAGCAGTAGGGGCTTTGGCGGCCGCCATTCCCCGTCGGGCCGGTAAGCACCGGTAGGCACCGGTTGCTCGATCTCCACCTACAAAGAGCCCCAGCGAGAACACGACACGCAACACGACACGACACACGACACACACACGACACACGACACACAAGCACACGACGCACGCGACACAAAAAGTGAGCTGCTGATGGCCGAGACGCCACCACGACCAGCAAACAACATGGTGTACCTGGTGCTCGGCGAACAGGGTGAACTCGGGGTCGAGGCCCTGGCCACAGCAGGTGAGCGACGAGCGGCATCGATGGCGCGGCGGCCAATGCAGGCGCGGACCGAGGTTCCACCACCACAGCCTCTGCACGGCCCTGTCGCTGCTCACCCGATGCCATTTCCTGCAAATTGCCCCCCCCCACATACAACAAGAACGAATAAATAAAATGAAGTTGTTCATCTTTTATAAAAAAATATATTAATAAAAAGAAGTGGTGGGCGTGCCTGCTGACGAGGGCGACGGTGGGCAGGTGGGACGGGTGGCCGAGGGCAAGGAACACCTGCTGCAGGACCTCCTCGGGCAGGTCCTCGATATCGAGCGTTTCCATTTTTTGGTTCTTTTGAGATGCGGACTCGTGCCGCGTCCACCTCTCGAGCGGCGGTATCATTCTTCCGCTATTCTTCTATTCTATCTCCGACCAAATACTTATATCGACGGGGGCAACCCCGGGAAGCACAATATATAGTCCCACAACACCTCGCTCTTCACCCTCCCTTTTCTCTCTCTTAGCGGTCCGAACGCCTATACGTTCCGAACCACGCATCACCGCGTGTCACTTTTGCAAATAAATAATAGGGTTAGGGTTGTTGTTAAACGAAGAGAAAAATAAAATCAAACCGAAGAAGATGGAGGCTTGCGGCAAGAATGGCAGTGGGAGCGCGGCCGAGTTCGTGGCACGGGAGGCCGAGGTGCGACGCGAGCGCGGGCCGCAGCATGCGGCCCTGTGGCAGAACCTCACACGCTTCCCCAGCGTCGCCAGCGGCTGGCTTCATCCTGCAGCTCCCTCTGCATCTTCGACCGAGATCGAAGCCACCATCTTTGTACTGCAGTCCCCCCCACACGCGTCGCACACCGCACACACCACACGCACGCACTGCACATGCTGACTTGTGAGGTTACCCCCCCGTTCCATGTAGACGAAGCAGAGGGACCTGGTCGGGCGCAAGAACCGGCTCGTCGGGCGCAACTACCAGTGCGGCAGCGGCGGGGTGCGGGCCGTGGGCGGGTTCGGGTGGGAGGTGAAGGACGTGCAGCTCTCGAGCCCCTCGCCTTCGCGCGGCCTCCTCGCGCTGGTCACCAACCACACCCCCGAACCGCCCTCGCCCCAGCAAGCCAAGCCCGCCCTCGAGGTACGCCCCACCACTTCTATCTGCACCCAGCCATCACTTGCCACCACTGTACTCACATTACACGTGTCGTGTCATGTGCGGCGCGTGTGGTGTGTGTGTGTGTGTGTTGTGTTGTGTGTCGCGCGTGACAGATCGTGGGGAGGGGTCGAGCCTGGTGCAGCACATTCTGCTGCAGGACTGTCACGGCG